GGGGGGGGGGGTGAGACCTGGGGGAAACAGACACAGGTGAGGAAACAGTTAGCTAAGCTAACACTCCAGGCTCCTCAGTTATTTTCTGTTACGCCCCCTAGCAAGAAGAAAACTATTCGCCCCCCATACTCCCCACCATGACCATCCATCTCTGCATAACAATTTATCCTTATTAACATTAAAGAAAAGAAAAAAAGAAAGACATGGTCAAACTTACAAAGAATAACTTTATTAAATCGTGTTTTAAGTCTGGGACATAAAAGATTTTAAGTGCATCTGCATTTGAGAAGCACTGAGCTAAGCTAACACACCAGGCTTTGCTTTCAGATCAGATTAACTACTCTACTCAGGACTCAGCTCAGCCCCTGATTGGTCCTCAGCCACCGGTCTGTACGGACTGGCAGCTAGGCCCCTGATTGGTCCTCAGCCACCTGTTACTTCCTGTAAAGCGGGGCGTACCTGCTGTTCCACACAGGTCCACGCTGAGCGTCTGCTCGAAGGGCTTGGTGCTGAACGGGGCCTCCCTGGGGAGCAAACAGAGGGTTAGAGGCCTGGAACAGCTGGCCACTGCCAGCGGCAAGGCCCACCTATTACTATCCAAAATCCTTATTAGTGGGGCCACTGCCAGCGGCAAGGCCCACCAATTACTATCCAAAATACTTATTAGGGGGGCCACTGCCAGCGGCAAGGCCCACCTATTACTATCCAAAATACCTTTTAGGGGTCCACTGCCAGCGGCAAGGCCCACCTATTACTATCCAAAATACTTATTAGGGGGGCACTGCCAGCGGCAAGGCCAACCAATTACTATCCAAAATACTTATTAGGGGGGCCACTGCCAGCGGCAAGGCCCACCTATTACTATCCAAAATCCTTATTAGGGGGGCCACTGCCAGCGGCAAGGCCCACCAATTACTATCCAAAATCCTTATTAGGGGGGCCACTGCCAGCGGCAAGGCCCACCAATTACTATCCAAAATACCTATTAGGGGCGCACTGCCAGCGGCAAGGCCCACCTATTAATATCCAAAATCCTTATTAGGGGGGCCACTGCCAGCGGCAAGGCCCACCAATTACTATCCAAAATACTTATTAGGGGGGCCACTGCCAGCGGCAAGGCCCACCTATTAATATCCCAAATCCTTATTAGGGGGGCCACTGCCAACAGCAAAGCCCACCTATTACTATCCAAAATCCTTATTAGGGGGGCCACTGCCAGGGGCAAGGCCCACCTATTACTATCCAAAATACTTATTAGGGGGGCCACTGCCAGCGGCAAGGCCCACCTATTACTATCCACAATACCTATTAGGGGGGCCACTGCCAGCGGCAAGGCCCACCTATTATTATCCAAATTACTTATTGAGGGGACACTGCCAGCGTCAAGGCCCACATATTACTCTCCAAAATATCTATTAGGGAGGCCACTTCCAGCGGCAAAGCCCACCTATTACTATCCAAAATGCTTATTAGGGGGGCCACTGCCAGCGGCAAGGCCCACCTATAACTATCCAAAATACTTCCTGGGGGGACACTGCCGGAGGCAAGGCCCACCTATTACTATCCAAAATACTTATTAGGGGGGCCACTGCCAGCGGCAAGGCCCACCTATTACTATCCAAATTACTTATTAGGGGGGCCACTGCCAGCGGCAAGGCCCACCTATTACTA